CCCCGCCGCCGCTCGCGCCCGCCGGGGCCGCCGCGGCGCCGCCCGGCCGTGCCGCCCGCGGCACGCCGCCCAGGCCCGCAGCCGCGAGCACGGCGCCCGCCCCGGCCGCCCAGGCGGCGCCAGCAAGGCCCGCCCAAACAAACGCCGCCCTCAGGCCGCAGGCCTGCGCCAGCCGCGGCGCCAGGATGAGGCCGGCGACGCCGCCTGACAATGGGTGGGCGGGGTCGCGGGAATCAAAGGTTGGAGAGACGGCGTACGTGCGGCCCAGGCGCAGGCGCAAGCGCGGACTCGCGACGCGAGCTCTGGGGTCGAGCAAATGCGAGGCTCATGGGGCCGACTAGTGCGTTTTGGGGCGGCCAAGCAGCACCGGACGGCTGGTACACCACACACCCGAGTGCATTCATCATTTTTGCGGGCGGCCAGCACATTCAAAGCACTGTGTCAGCAGGTAGCAAAGCTGCTGCAGCAGGTTTAGGACAACGCCCCACACCAAAATATCCGCATACACATACAAATGCACAAGCAAACACATGCACACACACACACACACACACGCACCGCCCTACCTATATTAAACAGCGCGTAGATGATCGAAACGCACCCCGCCCTCCGCCCCCGCGGCACCCACGCCGCCACCGCCGCCGCCACCGCCGGCATCGCACACGCAGACGCCAGCCCTAGCAGCACCCGCGACGCGTACACCGCCGCGAGCGAACCCCCGCCGCCGCCGCCGCCGCCAGTGCCGCCACCGCCGGCCCCGAGGGCCGTTAGGGCGGTGGCGGCGGACCACAGGGCGAGGCCGGACAGCAGGACCTTGGCGCCGCCGTGTTTGTCGGCCAGGGCGCCGGCGGGGAGTTGGCCTATGAGGTAGGCTGCGAGCATGGCGGCCTGGGGTATGTGTGTGTGTGTGTTTATGTGTGTTTATATGTGTGTTTATGTGGGTGTGTTTGTGTGAGTGTGCACGCATGCGTGCGAAGTGTGTGTCCATGCATGCATCGAACGCCATTCATACTCATGCGCTCGCATGGGTGTCGTATGTCGGCGCACATGTGGTCGCATGGCCCCGTTGACTCATCAAGATGGGCACCCAGCTTCTTCAACGCGTGGCAGGGCGAGGGAGTGGCGCCAGCATGCCAGGCGCTGCTGTGCTGTGCGCCGCACCTGGATCTCTCCCATCTGCCCGGCCCGCAGCTGCAGCCTCGTTGCCAGCTCTGGAAGCAGCGCCGAAAACGTCGACCGGTGGAGGTTGCTGCAGGGCGGCCGCGGGTGGGGGCGCGCCGCTGTTGTTTATCGGTCTGGTCGCGGGGCGGCGACGAGCATGCTCTGGTGGGGGGCCTGCAAAAGCCACGGCCGCGCTCTTGTCGCCCTCAATAGACACGTGCCGCTCAGGAGGGCGGCGCGCGGCACACGGCACGCGCCCGCTGGGCCGCTTGCGGGCATGCGGTGCAGCAGCGCTCACCAGAGGAGCATCGCGCCTGCCGTGGCCCCAACCACTTTTGGCCACTGCAAGGGTAGCGGCAGACGGTTGGGGTGGGTTGGGTGAAGACCAATGTGGTGGTTTGCATCCCACTTTGGTCCTCAGCATCATTGTGGCAAAGACTCACTCCAGGAAAGCCATCAGCCTCAGATGGTGGCTCCGAGGCCGCGGCCGGCGTGCTGGCCGCTTGGGGCGGGACGCGGCAGCGGCGCCGGCTGGGGGGCCACAGGCTGCTACTTCTTGAGCTGCTCCAAACGGCCCGCCGTGCGTGTCCTGTTGGTGCTCTGTGGCCGGTTGCCATGGCGGGATCAAAGGTGCGCTGATGCATAACGTGGCGTGTGCCTTGACCCGTGCGGCTTTGCATCTGGCCGGCCATGCCCACAGGAGCGCAGCGCGAGCGGGAGCCGGGTGAAACACTAGATGCTCATGCTCAAGCTGCCACCACTACGCAACATGTTCAGAAATTTCCTAACCGCCAAGAATTCAGCCGCAACTCGTCTGGCCTACGCACGTGGCCCGTTTACGTAGCGATCTGGAGACATATCGAGTAGATCATTGATCTAGGTTTGAAATCGCGTGCACTGCAGCTTTAGGAGGTCGAAGTTCGCATCCACCGGGTTGTAGATCGCTCTAAAAGCACAAAATTCTGAGGCAGGCCGCCTTGACTCGCCCATCGCGTCATCGCAGCGAGTGGTGGCGATCAGATCAGCCCAAGCCGTCTGCAACTGCACCGGCGCCTGCTGAAGTGTGGGCCGCGGGAATGCATGACATCAGTTCATCCACCTGAATCATTCATCGTAATCTGCATGTTGATTGGGTCGGCGATCCAAACGCCCATGTCACATCTGCGGACAATGACCGAGTGACCTGTGGTGCGATAACAACATTACTCCCGCCGCGACGTCGGTGTGATCTGACCCGTTACCGCGCATTACTTGTCACGTCTGAACAAATATGGGTGTGTTGTCTGGGATTTCGTGCAAAGGGCATGGGTCCTGCACGACTCGTGCAGCGATGGTGCGGGGCCAGCTGCCAGCCATGAGCCGTCGGTGACACACAGCGAGGGCAGGCGAGCCGTACGGATGCCAGCGCAGTGCGTGCGCCACGGCCGGGTTGGGCAGTGAACGGTGACGTTGCTGTGCTCGCAAGCTCAAGAAAATGCAAATGGTGAGTGGTGAGGGCCCCGACAAAGTCCTAACCTTGAACCCTTCTGCCACTGGCTACTGAACAAAGGTGGGGCTTGACAGGCGTGTGCCGCTCGAAATGCTGGTGGGAGTGAAGTGCAGGGCCTTGTGGCAGGCCTGGAGAAGCAAAATTAGATACCATGGGGTACACAAGTGTTCACAAAACATGAGCATGTGAAGGCAAGCCTGCCGGCAAGCCACAAGCGAGGCAAGCCTGCTGGCATGGCACAAGGCCAGAGGGGTTTCACACTCGCCTAGCTCACATCGCTGAGGCGCTTAATCCTGCTGCAAGCTAGTGTATGCGCGTTGTCGTCCCTTCTGCCGCTGGGCTCACAAGCAGCATGCCGGATGCAATCGAGCACGCGCGTGTTTGGCGCCATGCATCGTGCGACGAGAGTGCTGCAAAAGAGGGGGCGTGAGTTGACCGGCCAGGGGCGCCACTGACGGGCGCACCAGGTAATGTGCAGGGGGCGTACACAAGACCTCAAGTGCGTTTGGAAAAGCATGAGCGTGGGCGATTCGCCATCCTGCAGGACGACTGTGCAATCTTTGAGGACACAAGGGAGAAGGAGGATAATAACCACATCGCGGCACAAAACAGTCTGCTGCATACACTACTGGCGTTGAAACAAGAAAGTAGGCGGGGCCGCCGTGACGCGCGGCGACGATCCGCCGCGGCGTTGAAATCCTGCTGCGTTGGTGCAAGTACACGCCGGTGTACACACACGCACCTCCGCATCAAAACCCCAGGAAACAATGGACCATGGACCCATACATGGCCAGGGGCTGCCGGCCGCGGCGGCCACAGCGACAACACACTTTCCGGGCCACTCTCCGGCGTCGGCGCGCCGCTTTCCGCGCGCCTCACGCTGCCAGCACCGCGTTCACCACCGCGTTCACCCTCTCACGGATCTCCTCAGTCATGCCCTTGGCCCCTGCCGCCGCCCCGCCCGCCGCCTTTTCAGTCATCCGCTGCCATTTACTGGACAACTGCTGCGGCGTCGCGCCCTCCAGCTCGGGGGCATCCTCAGCGAACTCCCAGGATATCTTGGCGGGCTTGGCGCCCTCCCTGTGTAGCGCATCGGCCACAAACGCCTCCGCGCCGCGGAGGAGGGCCTCCACCTGCGCGGGCGTCCAGGGGAGCCTCGCCTGCGCAGCAAGCAAAGGGTGTTGATAGGGGCGGCGCGTGCAAGGTTGCGCAGTGAGAGGTTGCAAAGGGGGGCGGCAGGGCTAAGGGGGAGGGGGGCAAGTGCAGACAGAGGATCGAGCGCGGCCAAAGAGCAGCCGTAGGGCCGAGCACGGCGGGTGCTACGCCCAAGGGACCAGCCGCGTTTTGATTGAGGGCCAACGGCAGCCCAACGCACCGCCGTGTTGGCTTGGTCGGGCGCCTGGCGGGGCTTCTTGGCGCCGCCGCCGCCATTGTCCGCCGGGCCGCGCTTCTTTGAGGCGTTGTAGCATTTCCGGCAGTGCTTGGTGCCCCAGGAGCACCCCAGAAGCAGGATGCCTGGGCCTTGCCGGGGGGGAAGGCCTTGCAGTTGTCGCCGCGGGGGCAGCGCGCGGGCTCCTTGTTATCGGCCTTGCACGCATGCGCGCTCGTAGCAGCCCTCGCTGCAGTAGTCGGCCTTGCGGATGCATGATTTGCCCCAGCCGACGGCCTGGCAGGGACGCTTGGTCTTCTGGGTGCCGGCGGCGCTCGCTGAGTCGGGCAGATCTCTGTCAACGTGGTGCCGCATGGGGGGCCGGGGCAGGTTGCGATCGCATGGGCGTGTGCGTGGTGGCTGGGCAAGAGCTCAGGAAGTTGCCGCCATGCGCCTGACGGAAGCGAGCATGCGGGGGTTCCGGAAGGGCTGCATGGCGCATGCATGCGGCGCATGGCGCACAGGGCGCCGTGAGGTCTGGCCGCGTGCCTTGAGTGTCGTGCGAGGGGTCTCGTGCGTGTCATGCGCGAGGCCGGGCAGTGGCGACAAGGCACTGGGCGCTGCCGCGGCGGCCCAGGACCCGACATGCCAAAATGCCAGCGGCTGCGCGGCGACTAACTATCTGTGCAAATGCAACGACGCGCCACACACTCACGCAGCAGGGCGGCCCATGTCGATGTTGCCCAGAGCCGTGCTGCGCGACAAATGAAGCAGCTGCAGACGGGCGCAGGCGGGAAGATCCTGCGCAGGCGCATGCAGCGATGGGACGGGACGCAAGGTGCATGTTTTACAACCTGCACAAATCACTGGAGGGCGACACTAGCTGCCGCGACCAAGGCAGAGGCCAGTGCATGGACGGCGCCCATCGCCAAGCGGCAGCATATGAACATGCCCCTCAACAACCTGCTAACAGAGAGCGGCGGCCAGACCCTCATGTGCCGATGCACACCTGGATGTTGGTGATCACAGCGTGAGCCGCAAGACGTTTGATCGCACGCGTTCTCAGATCTCGTAAAACTGGCGCGTCGCTTAAACGGTGGTTTCAGATAAAGCGACGGATGGCATGGAAGTTCCAATTGTGGCGGATCGTCATAATAATGGTAATGGTAATGAAATGCGCAAGAATTTGTAATGCGCACCGACCCCCGCCTCCACAACTGCCAACATCACTAATGGGGCAGCGCGAGCGACCACAGGGATGCATCACCGGTGTGGCAGAATGCACCAGCCACAGCAGACCTTCCTGCCATGCCCGTGAACGGCGTTGGCTGCCATCTAGCAGCATTCACTGGGCGGCGGCTGAGTGCGCGGGAGAGGCCCGGGTTGCCTCAGCTGTGAGTTGCGGTCGCCGACACCCTTGATGGCGCCTCTGACACCCTTTCTGCCAGCAGCCCCAGTGATGCTTGCACGGCACGGAGAAATTTTCAATTAATGATAGGCTTGAGGCATCCTCAGGAAACTTAGGGGCTGACCTGCTGAGGTTGTTGCCCTGCAATGCGCCGTGACCAATGTTGCCCACTGCTCCCGCAGCCGTATCGTTTGTGCAGCAGCCAGAGGTTCTTTTGTCTTTGTTTACATGCCCGAGGGGCTACCGCGGCGGCGCAGGCCGCTTGGGCCGCTGCAGCGCAGGCTGCGCCGCGCTCGGCCGCAGCGGCTGCTGCAGCAGGCGCGCCGCCGCCGCTGCCCTGGGGTCGGCCGGCGCCGCCGCCGGGGCCGGCGCCTGTTCGGCGCCGCCGCCGCTGCTGCTGACGCCGCCGCCCCCATTGCTGCTAGGATTGTTCTCGCCTAAACCCTGCGCTCCATCAGGCTGCCGCCCCTCCCCCGCCGCAGCCGCAGCCTGGCGGTCAGACGCCTGCCCGTCCTCCTCAAGACTCCCGAGCCCTCCTTGCTGCTGCTGCTGCTGCTGCTGCTCCTGCTCCTGCTGCTGCTGCTCCTGCTGTTGGCGCCGCTGCTGCTGCTTCTGCTGCTGCCCCTTCTCCTGCCGCGCCGCCGCCGCCGCCGCCCGCATCCTGTCCGCCTGCTTTGCGAGCGCGGCCATGCTGTCAGCCATGCTGGGTTGCGCCTTCCTGCCCGCCCCGCCGCCCGCGGCGCCCCCCGCCCCGGCC